GATACACTCATTTAGCCGGTCATTTATCGTATATATTTCTACGCGCGTTCTATTTTTACCTCCAATTTGTATTAATCGCGCGCTTCTACGCAAAACTATAGCTCAGTAAAATTAGACTTGAAAAGGGCAAAACTTCAAAAAAATTCTAATCAGGTTGAATTTTTGTGGAGACCTTTATTAATAAATAACAATAGACCTTTATTTATAAATAACGTCGAAATTTTGATGTTTTAATAAAATCCTCAAAAGTACTTTTAATATCAGCCAGAGCATTTTTTATGGGGGGTAAATTTTAGTCTTTTGTAATTATCTCGAAAATTATCAACTTTTCGAGAAAAATTGTTTTTATCAAAATTGTAGCTCAGAAAATTCTCTACAAAAAAGATCATTATACTTTTTTTCGTACAACTAATCGTTTTTGAGTAAAACGTGCGGTAAAGTTGCAATATTTCTAATATAATTTTTCTGCACCTCTTACAAAGTAGTAATGTGTACATTTTCTTTCAGACTTAATTCGCTCTATATCTTCGAAACGATTAATTCCACGGAAACAAGTATGACTTTTTTGTAGGGAATTTTATAAGCTACAATTTTAATAATAACTATTTATCTCGAAAAATTGATAGTTTTCGAGATAATGGCAAAAAACTAAAATTTATCCCTTTTCATCCGCCATGAAAAAACGTCCTGGCTGAAATTAAGGGTATATACTTTTCAGGATTTCATTAGAATATCGAAATAAATAAGGTCTCCACAAAAATTCAGTTTGATTATAATTTGTTTGAAGTAAAAGTCTAATTTTACTGGACTAAAATAAGGAAGCTCGGCGAGAAGACGAACGAGGATATAAGTGAGCCGACGACGACACCCGTCTGGGTGCAAATATAATTCGCGATCTCCTCGTGGGCGAGTTAAGTGGTCGTGGCGAGACGTGGTAAACGCAGAACAGGCCACAATTAAGGAGACACGATATCTCCGTTCGCGACTGACGTGGCTGGATTGCGCATTTCGCTTTGAATTTGCTTTAAAGCGCGGAAAATTTACGATAGCGAGCGCACACGCGAGCTCCGGAAGGTCATACGATAGAATTAACACGAGTACATGTATATTAAAGATGAGTTTCCTTTCTACCTTCATGCATCGCTTCTGTTACATTTTTTCTGCAAAATTTAACTAATTTTTTTTTACTTTTTTTTCGAGGAACCATCTGCGTTTCTGGTCGAGACGATATATACATATATATATATATAACTATTTATTTAATTATATTATATATATAACTTATATATATATAATATTATATACATTCAATCATGACTTTAATTGGTAATCTCCCTCCATTTTACATACAGAAACGCATTACAAGAGATAAGAGATTGCGGAAATGATCTTTATAAAAATGATATTTATAAAAACTCAATCAATTTACAGGAAGACACAGACAATTTGAATTCAATATACGATTCGATTCTTAATATAATATAAAGTTTAGTACTTACAGAATGCTCGATCTGCACGCATTGTCTCTCAACGACGCATTAAAGTAACGACTTACTTTAAACGTGCCTGTGCAATGAAATAAAGATCTGTGATGTGTTTAAGTTAGCCAGTCTGGTCGTTTACTTTAGCTGTCCTTGATAAAATATAATAATAAAATATATGTAAAATATCAAATGATATGTAATATATTATATTACAAATATATAATTTAAAATTAAATAGGGAGAGGGAGAGATGTTGCGTGATACTAAAATACCATAAATGATAATGTGGCGGTGTAAAGAGGGAATCCCAAATAATGCACTTTCGCGAGCGATTATATATTCGATTGCAGAAAAATGTGGGCAAAGTTTATAAGTGTACGTTTGCGCTGATTCTGTTGCAGATATGAGAATCTTTCTCTTCAACGGGTTTCTTTTACTGGGCTTTGTCGTAGCGCCAGTACCGGATGATTACGTGGATTCATCGGAATCCGCGGAAATAATGGACCAGAATACGAATACGTGCCATTACATCAGAGCTAATTCGTTATTGAAAGCGAGATGCCAATGAAAATCGATGAAAATCTCGTTAGATTTGAATCCGGACATACAAGTGAGATTGTCGTTTAAATATATTTTATTTAAAATTGCAATAAAATAATTGGTATGTATATTTTTACCATTATAAAAGAATATTTTCTGCATATATATATATATATATAATTGTGAGGATTTTTTTAATCTTATCTATAATTCGCATAAAATAGAAAAATTTGTAACGAGTTGTAGAAATCCGTGAGACTCCATTTGATTTTTTATTTTTTTACAATAATTATGAAATTATGATTTATAAGTTATAAATAATATTGTAATAAAATTTGCTCGAATTTATATTCCTCTCAAAGTAAAAAAACTTTTGTAAGAAATATTCTAAAATGCATTGTTCAAAAGATATTCGCGTGGATAGATTAAAATCGCCCACCCTGTGTACGTTTCATCTCTGATAACACTCCTGACGTTCTTCCTCTGTTTGCTAGGTGCTCAATGTTACCGGGAAAATGTACCCGATAATCTTGAGTAACGATACTCTGCATTCTTACAAGAAGCTCGTCGCCATCTATCTACGTGACAATTGGCTTCTTGAATTCGACGAGGCACTCTTCGCCAATCAGCATTACCTGAAAGTACTGGATCTCACGCGCAACATTCTCTTCAAACTGCCCAAAAATTTCTTCCAGTTTCCGTATCTACACACGCTCTATCTCGGCCACAACATGCTCTCCGATTCCGCATTCAAGATAAACGTGACCTCGCCTCTCAAACTGCTCCAGCTAAACAATAACATTATACACGTGATCCCGAACTTAGGCGTCCAGCCGACCCTCATTCATCTCGACGTGTCCTACAACGTAATCACCTCGATCAGCACCGAGGATCTGGCTCCCTTCTGCTCGCTGAAAAAGCTCGATCTGACCGGAAATAGAATCAGATTCAACGCGAGCAGTTGTGATTGTCAGAGGTTCAACGCCTGGGTGAAGCTACGACAGATCAAGATGAAGCCCGATCTCTACAAATGCATCGATCCACCAGCAGCTCTAAACAAGGACTGCGCCAAAGTGACATTCAGCGATCGGACGCACAAGCTGTTCAACGAGTGCTTGGCAATGGCACAACAGAAGATGAAGACCGCGAAAGCCTCGATCGGTCTGAAGAAGCGTCGCCCCGTGCGTCTCGGTGTTCTTCTTCCTAGCGTTGTTCGTGCACAAGCGATACCGTAGGCGGCACATAAAGCAGGAGGAGCAGCTAACGGCGATCTACGACAACACCAAACTATTCCAACAGCAACCTGACGATGATTAGTAAAATAATCGCCGAATAAACGTAGAATCCTGTTAAAAGAGCTGTTTCTGGCGTCGACAATATGCGAGAGTAGAATTTTGCGTGAGAATAGAATTTTCCGAGTAGGGTTGCATACTCTTAAATTATTTACGACAGAATAAAATTTATTTGTTAAATAACAAGGCCCGCAATAATTCCGTTCAACAAGATATTTACATATATCCGGACATCGACCCATTAAGCCTTTTTGACGTTTAATTAAAAAAATTACAAGCATAGCGGTATGTCTTAGGACCTCTTACAATAGAAAAAAATTATTCATCCGAAAACAAGATCTGAAAAAATCTGTTTATAATGTTATTTTTGCATAAACGCTTAAATACTCGTTTAACAATTTATTACGGTCGACCCTGTGTTTGGTGCCAGAAAATACGAGTAGGATTGAAAATTTATAAAATATATAAGTATATATAATTAAGAAAAAAAGAGAGAAATAACTGTTATTCATTGAACTGGTGTTTATTGAATGAGTTTAATCGACTGAGGATTCACATTCATAGAGAATTTAATCGGATATATATCTACGTGCTTAAGTTTGTATTTGATCATCATTAATACATATCGCGTAATGTTCATTAAACATAAGATTATTGTAATAGTTCAAATGCTGCTCTTGGCATGTATGCCATTTTTTGAAAAATATATTGCTTCCTGAAAGAAGTGAGGTACATATATTTTATAGTTTTTTGAACAAAGACAATATAACCAACAAAAGCGATATCAATTATGATCCAGAAACCGGAGATATCGAATAAAATATGTTAGACTTTTCATGGTACTTATTGTTGTAAATTATTTTAGACTTTGAATGGAAAAAAATGTGAAAGCAGGCTTTATATATAACAAAAATAATTAATGATAAAGACAGTTCCGCGAAGATTAATATGATATGAACGCGTTAACTTATAAGAAAAATTTATAAATGTTATTATATTGTGTTCGCGTATATAATGGTTAACGATATTTTTATATAAAAATCTATGTGAATGTGGCAAAATTTTCGAGAATCTTTCCGGGTGTGTGAACGAATATTATACTATACTCTAGGCGGCGATATATGTAGGAAGAAATTTCGGCGTTAATTTTTTCGATGCCGGTCAAATGAAAACCGATCGCTCAATGTCGTCGCGCGCTTTTTGTTGATGTAATAGCCATTTGTTTTGCGACAATTATTTAGAATTATTGACTTCGTGTCTTACGATTGCTAGGGGTAATATTTCATTTTATTTACAACTGGCATTTGCAATCATGAATTTATATCATATACACAAGAATGTAACTAGCTTTTTATTGTACGGTGAATATGACCATAAAAAATGGTCGAAACGTTCGAAAATTGAATAAAGAGTAAATTTGTTTTGCGCATTGATTTCTGTATGTATAATATATAATTTTCAAGCATGATTAAGCTAGTAACCTTCCTCCATTCTACAGAAAAGCATTACAAGAGAAGAGAAATTGTAGAAACGATCTTCATAAAAATGTATAAAGTTTCTATAAATTTAAAAAAAGCACAGACAATTTAAATTTAATATACGATTCGATTCTTAGTATCATACACGCTTCCCCTGATATAATATATCTCTCTAAATCACTGCTACTGTTTTGATACAAACACAGAGAATTTAGTACGTATTGAATTCTCGATCGACACACATCGTCTCTCGACTCACCACACGACTTAATTTCAACGAACATGTGTAATAAAGTAAAGTGTTGTGGTGTGTTTAAGTTGACTAATTTTCTCTAGGTAATGTGACACATTTTTATCTTTTCGCTTTTATAACTACTGTAGCGCCTACTCTTTATTTATTTTTGTCATACGCGCACAACCATGTTCGCTCTCCGTTTCTTCCTTTTCGTTTAATTTGTATCTTGCATACCGGTATACAGTTTCAATGCTTGATACTTTATTATATTGTCACGGAAATTCATATCATTTTTAATTAGATTGATTGTAATGTTTATACCACACACGTCTAGGTTTATCGACATATATGTGTAATATTGTAGTCATGTATTAAAACTTTGTTTTTTACTATCAATTTTTATTAGTAAGTGTTATATTTTGTGTATTTAATTTAGATATATTAATCTTAGACACTTGACCAAAATTGTCGGTCGAATGGGTCAACAATAAACATGTGAATTGTAACCAGTCTGGTCGCCTACTCTCGGTGTCCTTGATAATGTATGTATAATAATAAAATATATATAAAATAAAAAATAATATAGCACATATATTATATAACAAATATATAATTTAAAAAGTGATAGAGAGAGATGGAGAAATATTCCGTGATATTAATATACTATAAATGATAATGTTGCGGTGTAAAAGGGAAATCGCAAATATTGCACTTTTGCGACCGATTAATTATCCGGTTTCGGCAAAGTTCGAACAAAGTTTATAAGCATACATTTCTACTGATTTTTTTCCAGATATGAGCATTTTTCTCATGAATGGATTCTTCTTACTGTGCTTCGTCGTGGTCACAGTACCGGATGTTCTGGTGCTGGGTTCACCGGAAGCCGCGAAAATAATGGACCAGAATCCGCCACCGACTATGTGCACTTACAGTAGAACTAATTCAATATTGAAAGCGCGGTGCTCCAAATTAAAATCGAACGAGATTCCGTTAGATTTGAAGGCGAACATACAGGTAAGATTTTCAAATATGAATAAAAATATATTTTACATAAAATCGCAATAGAAAATTGTCAGGTATGCTTTTGCTATTATAAAAGAATATTTTTTGCATATATTGCTATAATCTTTTCTTTATCTTATCTCCACTTTGCATAAAATAAAGGAATTCATAACGTGTTTTAAAAATCCGTTAGACTCCGTTTCATTCTTTTGACAATAGTTATGAAATTAAGATTTATGAATTAAATATAATATAATAAAATTTACTTATATCTAAAATTGCACGAAATCCAATTAGATTTGATGGCGGACATAAAGATGAGACTGTTGTATAAAAATACAGATATTTTATTTAAAATTGATATTAAAAAATAGTCATATGTTTTTTTCTATTATAAAAGAATATTTACTGCATATATAATGACTTTTTGTATCTTATCTGCAACTCGCGCATGAAATAAAGAAATTCGTATTAACGAGTTCTAAAAATCCACGAAACTATTTTTCACTTTTCTTTAAATATGGGAAATTAAGAATTACAAATTAAAAACAATATCATAAATCTTTAAATATTATTATTCAATAAAAGTTTATGTTAAATTTAATTTTCCATATAAAATTTTATATCATATATTTGATCTTCGATGGTCCTATAAAGGTTATCTTCAATTTCTTAAATGAAAACTCCTATTTTTTAATGCATATATTTGTAACTACTTCCATTTAAGAAATGGAAGATAACCTTTATGTGATCTTTAAGTGACTATGCAAAATCAAACCAATGACACCATCTTATATTTCTCTCGAAATAAAAAAAATTTTATATGAAGTTTTTTAAAATGCATCGCTCAAATGATATTTGCGTGGATCGATTAAAATTGCCCACCCTATATACGTTTAATCTCTGATTTCCGAGCCGATCACTCAATGTCGTCGCGTGCTTTTTATCGATGTAATAGCGATTTGTTTTGCAACAGTTTTTTAAAATTGTTTACTCCGTGTCTTACGATTGTTAGTGGTAATACTTAGTTTTTTCATACAACTGACGTTTGCAACCATAAATTTATATTATATAGACAAGAATGTAACTCGCTTTTTAATGTACGTACATTTAAAATGACCATAAAAAATGGTCGAAACGTTCGAAAATTCAATAAAGAGTAAATGTTTTGCGTATTGATTTTTGTATGTATAATATATAACTTTCCATTATGATTTTGACTGGCAATCTTTCTCCATTCTACAGAAACGCATTACATAAAAAGAGATATGGCGGAAACGGTTTTTATAATAATGCATAAAAACTCCATGAATTTACAGAAGGGCACAGACAATTTAAAAATTCAATATACGATTTGATTCTTAATATCACATACAGTTTTCTCGAAACAGCTATACCTCTCTTGTTCACTGTTATTGTTTTGATACCAACACGGAAACTTAGTACGTATTGAACTGTCGATCGACACACATCGTCTCTCGACTCGTACCACACGATTTCATTTGACCGTACCTGTGTAATAAAGTAAAGTTCTGTGGTGTATATAAGTTGAATAATTTTCTCTAGGTATTGTGACACATTTTTATCATTTCGCTTTTATAACTACTATAGTGTCTACTGTTTATATATCATATGCGCACGATCATTTCCGTTCCTTTTTCGTTTCTTTTTGTTTATTTTGTATCTTGCATGCCGGTATACACTTATAATGTTCGATAATTTTTTATATTGTTATGGAAATTCATATCAATTAGATCGCGTTATATGTGTAATATCTTTATACTATATTTTTTACTATCAATTTTTATTACTAATTGTCATATTTTTTGTATTTAATTTATATGTATTAAGTGCAGACACTTGACCAGAATAGTCGGTTGAATGTGTCAACAATAACTCTTGAATCGTAGTCAGTCTGATCGTCTACTTTCGCTGTTCTTGATAATATATAATAATAAAATATATATGAAATATAAAATAATATATAACATATTATATAACAAATATATAATTTAAAAAATAATAGAAAGAGATGGGGATATATTGTGTAATACTAAAATATTATAAATGATAAGAAGGCGGTGTAAAAAGGGAATATCAAATATTGCATCTTCGCGAGGGATTAATTATCCGGTTGCGGCAAAGTTTATAAGCGTATGTTTCCGCTGATTCTGTTGCAGATATAAGCATCTTTCTCATTAACGGATTCTTCTTACTGTGCTTCATCATGGTTACGGTACCGGATGTTCTGGTGCTGGGTTCACCGAAAGCCACGAAAATTGTCGACCAGAATGCGCCGCCGATAATGTGCAACTACAGCAGAGCTAATTCAGTACTGAAAGCTCAATGCTCCAATCGGAAATTTAAAAAAATCCCTATGGATTTAAAGGCGGACATACAGGTGAGATTGTCGTTTAAATATTTTCTGCTTAAAATTGCAATAAAATAATTGTCATGTATGTTTTTGTCATTATAAAAGAATATTTCCTGCATATTTCGAGAGGATCTTTTTTTAATCTTCTCTAATACAAATTGCATAAAATGGAGGAACCCATAACGTGTTTTAAAAATTCGTGAGACTCCGTGTTATTTTTTGACAATAATTATGAAATTTAGTTTTAAGAATTAAAAATAATATAATAAAATTTACTCACTTTTAAAATTGCACAAAATTTGGTTTGATTTGAAGGCGGACATAGAAATGAGATTGTTGTTTAAAAATATATATTACTTAAAATTGGAATAAAAACAATAGTCATGTATTTTTTATCTATTATAAAAAAATATTTACTGCATATACAGTGATTATTTTTTTAATTTCATTTACAATGCATATAATAGAGGGATTCGTAATGAGTTCTAAAAATCCACAAAATTTTGTTTATTTTTTTTTTAAATATGGGAAATTAAAATTTATAAATTGAAAACAGTATAATAAAATTTTAAATATTATTATTAAATAAAAGTTTCTATTAAATATAATTTTTTATATAAAATTTTAAGTCATATATTTGACCTTGGATAGTCGTTTAAAGGTCATCTTCAATTTTTTAACTCTTTGGAAACCCCTATTTTCAGTGCACATTTCTCTAGCTACTCTCATTTAAGAAATTCAAAATGACTTTCATGTGACATTCAAGCGACTATCCAATGTCAAACTAATGACACTATCTTATATTCTCTTCCGAGTTAAAAAACTTATGTACAAAGCATTCTAAAATGTATTGTTCAAACAATATTCGCGTGACTCGATTAAAATCGCCCACCTTGTATACGTTTAATCCCATCTGATTTTCCTCCTCTGTTTGCTAGATGCTGGATATGAGCGGGAGTCATTTGATGGTACTGACGAATAAAAGTCTGCATTCTTACAAGAAACTGACCTACATCAATCTAGGTAACAATTTCATCTATAAAATTAACAAGGGAGCCTTCGCCAATCAGCCTTACTTGGAGGTGCTGAATCTCACGAAGAACTTAATGTACACACTGCCCAAAAGTATCTTCCAATTGCCGTATCTTCACTCGCTCTACCTCGACCGTAACCTGCTCCACGATTCCATGTTCAAGGTAAAGGTCACATCGCCTCTCAGAGTGCTGGAGCTAAATAGGAACTTGCTATCCGTGATCCCGAACATAGGCGTCCAGATGACCCTCCTTAATCTGAACCTGTCCGGCAACGTAATCACCTCGATCAGCACCGAGGATCTGGCGCCGTTTTGCTCGCTGAAGGACCTTGACCTGACCAGTAATAGGATCAGATTCAACGGGAGCAGCTGCGATTGTCAGATGTTCAGCGCATGGGTGAAGCTGCGGCAGATCAAGATAAAGACAGACGATCTCTACAAATGTACCGAGTCACCGGCAGCTTTGAACGAGACCTGCGCCAACGTAAGATTCAGCAATCGGACGTACGAGCTGTTCGACCAGTGCTCGGCCATGATACCGCAGAAGATAGAGACCGAGGAAGTTGGAGCGGTCTGGATAAGCGTCGCCTTATGCATTATAGTGCTCCTCTTCGTGGTGTTTATGGCGTTGTTTTACGTGTACAAGCGGTACCGTAGGGAGCAGATAGAGGAACTAATAGCGAACGATTACGTCGAGCTGTACCGACAGTAACTTGACTGTAATTAGTGAAACAGCTTATTGACGGCAAAAACATTATTTATTTCTCCTAAATATATATTCGATTAAATGCTCTGTGAATTTTGAGTCGATTAAACTCTTTCTATAAACACAAACACTACAGTTCTTGCTCTTTTTCTCTTTTTTTTTAGTTATAGCAAAACATCGTTTATTTGAGAAATAAATTGCTAATAAAGAGCGAGAACTATCGTGCTTGTGTTTATTGGAAAAGTTTAATCGACTCAGGATTCACAAGGCATTTAATCGAATATATATCTACGTACCAATGTTTGTATGTAATCCATTGTTGTATCAATTTTTGGAATATTTATTAGAAAGAGTACACTGGACATACATTAGACATCCTTGTGCCATCTGGGTATGAATATATTAATCTCCGCGAAGCTGTCTTCTTCATTGATTACTTTCGTTAAAGCCTGTTTTCTCTTTTTTCCATTTACAATATTAAGCAATCTCCAATAATAAGTACTATTAAACGTCCAAAAGTTTTTTTTCGATATCTCTGACTTCTGGAGATACATTTATTATATAGCCTCTTGAATACAGACGTTATGATCAATAAAAGCGTTATAAATTATCATTCAGTTATAAAAAAGGCAATTTCGCGGAGATTAATATATTTATACCTTGACAGCACAAAAATGTCTAATGTATGTCCGGAGAATATTCGTTCTTAGACATTGAGATATTCTTAATCAATCCAAATAAGGTCTATCGGACATTCGATGAACGTCCATTAGTTGGACATTTGTCACAATTTGGTACATCTACAGAATGTACGAAATATAGCCAGCTTTGGAGCTTGCTCAATTATTGATTTTGGATCTATTATGGACTGATTTAGGATATCTTTTTTTAATTGTAAATTTTTATTAACAATAACAATTAAATAAATTTTGTTTAGCTTTTATTTTTATTTTATGAAAAATATAATTATATATATGTGTTAAGAAATATTTAAAACAAAATATTATATCGCTTTTATATTATTTTTGAACGATAAACTTTGGTAAAAGAAAGACAGCCATTTAATAAAATATTATTAATTTGTTAATACTTAAATTATATATTAATAATTAAATAACTTTTCTTCAATATCAATAATATGTACATTTAACAGATATGTACAATAATGAATACATTTTTATATTAGATGAATATTATTGATATTGCTGATAGTCAGAGCCGGTTTAAGGTATTTGTAGGCCAGGGGCTGATGTTAAAACGGGGCCTTCTTCATTCATATAAGAATTGTCTACTTGCGTAGATAAATATCTATTTTTAATAAAAATTATTTATTGAATAATAACATTGAATTAAATGCAAAATAGATACATATTTTGCAATTCCTATTTAAACGTGATTGTTCGTATGACTTTTGTCGTTTCTGTTTAAACGATATAAGTAAGTTCTGGATGCTGAAAAATAAATACATGAAAATAATTCACATTTTATTGAAATTACAGTAGTACTTATAAAAGTTTTTTTCTTAATTTATTGCGCGCAAATTCATTGATTAAATCATTAAATTCAAGATTTTATAGCAATTCGCTCTCTATTGCTAATAATGCTAATGACGATAATCTAGTATCCGTCATTGTGGATCGATATTTATTTTTTATTATAGTTAATTTAGAAAACGATCGCTCGGCCTCGCAATTTGCGATCGGTATTGTCATAAATAGTCTAAATGCTACGTATATATTTGGAAAGACTTCTTCAAGTTTTCGATCGCACATCCATTTTAAAATATCCAATGGAAAGAATGTAACATTTTTGAAGCTAGTTTTTATAAACGGAATAAATTGTTCCAGTTCGCAACCTAAACTACTTTCTAAATCATGAGAATAAATGCTAACAAGACGATTAGCGCACTCTCGCATTTCATCGATTTCGATGGTCGTCAATTTAGTTAGAAAGCCAAATAACTTTGTTATGTGATTATACGCCGAACTTTGCTTTTCTAATTCAACTCGAAGTTTGTCAACGATTACATTAAATGATTCAATACGGAATTTTTCGCAACCATTTAAATTTTGAATCTCCGTTACATTATCTGCACATTTTTTTTTAATTTTTCGTTTCTGTGTATCAGAATATTTTTGTTGTACAAAAGAGCCTAAATTTTTAGAATCGTTTTCCATTGCTACAAAATCATTTCTTACGTCACTAATAAATTTAACTAGCGAGTGTAGCATATCATTAGCCGTAATCAAGTCGAGTTCGATTTTTTGCACAAATTTGCTAGTTATATTGAATCGTTGAAGAACTCGATGCCAAAAAACTGTCATAAATGCAGTTTCTAGTTTTGTTAATTTGTTTTTTAAGGACATTGCTTCGTGACGAGTTTCGGTCTTTTCTTCTTCACTTTGCTCAATCTCATACAATGAATTATATAATTCTAAATAATTCTGAGCTAATGCAGTAATGGCATCATCGCGGCATGACCATCTTGTAGAAGATAAACTTTTTAATGTAGTGCTCGCGTGTTTTAGCAATATGCTCCAACGATGCGTAGAAATGGAAAAGAAAGCATAAAGTCGTTGTACGAACCGGAAAAAATTTACAGAATCGATACATTCATCTACGCTGCATTCGCCAACTAAATTTAGTGAGTGTCCTACACAAGGAACGTAATACGCAAGATGATTAACTTCTTTAATTCGTGCTTGTAATTCCGAGTATTTTCCAGACATGTTACTGGCATTATCATAAGTTTGCGCTCGACAGTAAACAATGTCAATTTCATTATTGCAAAGAACTTGTAATATTGTTTCATTCAATGATGCTCCAGTATGGCTATTAATAGGTAAAAAGCAAAAGAAGCGTTCATACACACAACCATCCAAACAGTACCGGAGTACAATAGATAACTGATCAACGTGAGATACATCTGGTGTCGAATCTACAATAAGGCTGAAATATTTTGCTCTCTTAATTTGGCTAAGAATTTCGTTCTTAACTTTGTTAGCCATCATGTGAATAAATTCTTCACAAATATCTTTTGACAAATAGGAAACGTGCCCGCGACCTTGATTTGCATGCAAGTCAAAGTGTTTTTTTAAGAATGGATCAAATTTAGAAATCAGTTCCAAAACACCCAAGTAATTTCCATTATTTGGAGAACCAATCACTTCATGCTCGCCCCGAAAAGCAAGACCGCGTGCAGAAAGAAAACGAATTACTTCGACAATGCGTTTTAAAACTTCAGTCCAATACTTAATCTCATCTTGTAGCTGCTTAGCCATATAATTATTAATATGTGATTTTTCATGCACGAATGTGAGCCAAGTAAGCATGCATTTTTTGTGTTCTGCACTATTTTCATGTCCACTAATCTTTTCTTCTGCTTTCTTCTAATTGCTAAATCCGCCGTTTACAAATGTGTTTGTATTATTTTCACTAAAAAGCTTACAAACGTAACAGAAAACATTCCCAGTAGACTCTGAATATATCAACCATTTTCGCGTGCATTTTTCACCGTTAGCCAAAGTTCGTGAAAAAACCTTTGAAGATAAAAATCTGTTTTGATCTTTATATTGTCTAACAGAAGCTTGAAAATTGTTATCTTTTTTCTGAAAATATTCATAGCCTTTATCCAAATACTTTTGCCTCACATCATCATGCATTTCCATGGGCCACAGAAAGGGATCTTTATTTACAGGTTCTGAAAAGTATAAAATAAATAAGGAGAAAGAATAGGGAGAGAGAACAAGAGATAGGAGAGAGAGAGAGGACGGGGAGAAAAGAGAGACTGCATTGACAACTGACAAGATTTTGTTTGTCACCACAATCAGAAGATTCTAAATGTACAGAAAACTTGTGTAATTTTTACAAAAGCAGCAAATAAAATTTTATATTTTAATTTTGCAAATTGTAACCTGCAAAAACGTACCTATGACGAGCTTGGCTTTCCTGCTTATTACGTTCTGATTATTCATGTCACAACTGTCATCTGAGTGTTCATTACAAATGACAGCATCCTTAATACTGAGTTCATCACTATTAGTAGAAAGTACCGAATTTGATGTTAACACCGAGATTTGCTGAATCTTATCGTCATCTTCATTAGCAATAGTGCCTCCAGTTTTTATTTCGGCAGGAAAGAAGTTGGTCAGTTTCGGTAGTTTATTTTTAAAATCTTCATGTTTCTGTTTCGCTTTACGTTTCGAAGTACCACTAGCGTATTTTCGTGGAATCATCACAAACGATAAATGGTAGATCGATAAACATGGACTTTCCCAACGGATGCGGACGTCTTTTACTTTTATTCATGTGACAATTGCCGCACGCGGCAGGGCGGCCACAACGTCATGAGAAATAAACAAATTTTAGGCACTTTATATATGTGTGTGTGTGTATATATCTTCAGATAAAAACACCAGTGTACTTTTTTTACTGAACATTGTGTCTGTACACGATGATTCATTGTATGAGGAATGCAAAATTAAAATTTTTAATTATTTATTTGCATTCGATTATTTACTTTCATCGATGAAATACAATTTTATTTGAAAGCTAAGGGGCCCCTTATAAAGATGGGGCCGGGGGCTGTAGCCCCCTTAGCCCCTCTCTTAACCCAGGACTGCTGATAGTGAACTCTCACAGCAGAAATTTGAAATTAATGTATGATGACTTATCATGTTTAGACGCACAATACAAAAAATGTATGTGATATATTATATACCGATTTACGCGCAATTTAAATAGTGAAAAATAGATAATTGTGTTAACAAAATCCGCAATATTTTAACATACTTTTAACGCAAACAATCTATGTGTACAGAACAAAAACATACAAATTCTGTGTAATAAATAAAAGAAATATACAATGTAAAAAGGGAAAAAATAAAATACATATATATAACGAGCAGCCCTATACTTTCCTATACACCTATATTTATTGGTGACTACTATTAACTAAATTTCGGTAAAGTGCATGTGCACTTATTTTCTATAGTAAACGTAACGTTATAAATAAATGCGTGTATATGCACTCTAGGGAATCCGGCCATTATATTTGTTCCACTAATATAAATGATTAAGCAAAAAAATCCTAGGATCGAGTCCGAGAAAGACAGTGCCGGTTGGGTGCTTGGCCGTTCCCGTGCAAACTCAAGTAAAATAATAATAAGTTTTTTGCTAACAAAAAATTAGTTCAAAGAAGACTAAAAAATTTTACTAATTATAATTATTTTTAATTCAAATTGTTCCATTAATATAAAATACGTAATCTATGTGAAAACGTTAACTATACTAATTTTTCAGGAAATATGTATTGCACCTGATACGTTTCGGAAAAAAAGATTACCTAATCTAAAATATGCGATTGGAATGATAGTTACACATAAGTATAAAATGCGTGATAATACATATATATATCCTTCTGGTGTCATTATTGGGTGGCACAACAAAGGCCACATTCCATGCTCTCCATATAAGAGATTATATTGTACTCACAACGATATTAAACAAGAATGTATACAAAAATATAACATCGAAGATTGGGAATTGCAACCATACTACGTGTTGTTAAATGAATATAACCTGGTGTTTTATGTTCCACAATGTACGATTATTATTTTAAGTGCTTTATTATACATTATATTTCTATATTCTGTAATATTTTCATTTATATTATTTATGTTTCATCGTATAATAAATTTGATACTTAATTTTTTATCTATACATTTTTATTTTAGGTGTTATAACATCGGCATACAAAGAATGGATATACCATATATTGAAAAGTGATAATCCAGATATTGAAAAATTTTTCTGTAAATTTAAAGGTACTCATTATGTGCCAAACAAAATGCTAGAAAAACATTATCTAGATTATGCTGCAAAGTCGTTCGCGAAATATTGAGTGATCGTAAATATTATAATATTTT